CATGTTTTCATGAATTTAAATGATATCAAATGGATGTTAAAAGTGTATTTTTAAATGGTTTTATAAAAGAAGGAGTGTATGTGGAACAACCTCTAGGTTTTGAAGATTCAAAATTTTCGGATCATGTTCTTAAATTGACAAAAGCACTTTATGGTTTAAAACATGCTCCAAGAGCTTGGTATGAAATATTGTCAAATTTTTTAATTGAAAAAGGTTTTTCAAAAGGGAAGATTGACACTACATTGTTTTTAAAGCATAAAGGTAAAGATTTATTAGTAGTTCAAATTTATGTTGATGATATAATATTTGGTTCTACTAATGATGTTCTTTGCCAAGAATTTTTCAAGCTAATGCAAAGTGAATTCGAAATGAGCATGATGGGGGAGCTCTCATTTTTCTTAGGACTCCAAATCAAGCAAAGAAAAGATGACATCTTCATCAACCAAGTTAAGTACGTCAAAGATATGCTCAAGAAGTTTTGGCTGGAAAATGACAAATCTCATGACACTCTAATGAGCTCTTCATCAAAGCTTGACTTAGATGAAGGAGGTAAATGTGTAGATGTTAAATTATATAGGTCAATGATTGGATCTCTACTTTATCTAACTGCAATTAGACCGGACATTATGTTTAGGTTTTGCTTATGTGCTAAATTTCAATCATGCCCTAAAGAATCACATTTACTAGCTGTTAAGAGAATCTTTAGATACCTAAAGGACACTCCTAGTTTAGGTTTTTGGTATCCTAAAGACTCTAGCTTTAGTTTGCATGCTTTTTCTAATGCGGATTATGGAGGATGCAAATTAGATAGGAAAAGCACCTCCGGTACTTGCCAATTCCTTGAAAATATGCTGATTTCTTGGTTTTCAAATAAACAAAATTGTGTTGCATTATCTACCACTGAAGCCGAATACATTTCAGCTGGTAGTTGTTGTGCACAAGTTTTATGGATGAAACAATAACTTTTTGATTATGGAATTGAAGTTGGTACCATTCCTATCAAGTGTGACAATACTAGTGCTATTTGTCTCACTAAAAATCCCATCCAACACTCTAGAACTAAACATATTGAAATAAGACATCACTTCATTAGAGACCATGTCACTAAGTTCTAAAATTTGTTGATACTTTGCACCAATTAGCGGATATTTTTACAAAACCTTTAGACAAGGAAAGATTTTGGACACTTAGGAGAGAATTAGGTTTAACCAACCTATCTTCACTTAGTGTTTAAAATAATTTTAGCATTTTTAAGACTAAATGAAAAATGTTAATTTTTAATTGCATTCATTGCTATTAGTTAGGGAGAGTTTATGATTCTTGATGGAAAATTAATTTTATGTTTAAATATCATTTAAAGAATAATTTGATTATTTGAACATGATTAATTTCAATATATGAGTTGCCAATACTACTAGAGAAAATTAATTTAGCATTTTGTGTTTAAAATCAGATTTTAACATTTTGGTGCAGAGAGAATCGATGCCCCCATGAGGGAATCGATTCCCCCTTTGAAGGGGAACCGATTCCCCCCCACAGGGGAATCGATACCCCTTGGGGTTCTGGTTTTATCGGGCCGAACCTCATTTTCTTTGCTCAAACCCTATTCTCTTCACGTTGTTTCTTCCTTCTACTCTCTCAAATCTCCATTCTTGCCTCAAATCAACGTTTTTAATCGAAATTCACTTCAAATATCATCTTCTAAACCTGTTGGAATCATCAAAAACTTGCAAACTTCATCTAATCTCACTCAAATCTGAAATCCTTCAAGGTATTTTTCCAAAACTTCTATTTCATCAATTTATGAACATATAACTAGTTTTAATTAATTCTAGGTTGAACTTTAGATCGGGCATTGATTATTTTGTGATTAGAAACTAGGTATTACAACTAATTTCATCAAAAACACGAATTTTTCAATAATTTTGAAATTTTCGAAATAAAAAAAAAGTTTTTCAAATTATTGTGTTTTGATTGAATTATGTTGTTATGAAAACTATACATATATTGTTTCTCAAAATTGTATTTTTCAAAAGTTTTCAAAAAACCTTGCCCATTAGGATTGATTTAGAGAACCTTGAAATATTGAGGACTCAATTGAGTTTTGGGATTGATTGAATTGCATACATGTGTTTTCTAAATTGCAGGTTATTCATTCTATTCCGATTTCCTAAACCATGTCTAATCCTAAACGTGCTAGGTCGTCATCTAGTCGCTCACACCGTCAACCAAATCCACCTCCAAATCCTCATCATATTCCTAAAAATCCAATTCTTAATCCTAATCCCATTGATCCTAATTTGACTATCCAAAAATTCGTGCTTTAATTATCATGGTCCTAGAAATCATTATTTTTGGTATTATCAATATTTCGACTCTTACAAAATTAGAGAAGAACGTATTCCTTCTCGTCAAGCTATGTTAGATATTAATTTTAAATATCTTCCTCTTTTACAAGAGTGGAAATTTGACAAACTTTTTGATCTTGAACTCATTGTCTACCATCAACTTGTTCGTATTTTCTATTCTAATGTCGTTTGTGTTAAAAACCGAACTGAAACCAAAACCATAGGAATTCGTTCCTACCTCCTAGGACAATTCTTATATATTGACTCGACTTACATAGCCAATGCATTCGGATTAGATAATAATGGTATTTTAAATGAAAAACAAATCTTAGGATCTCGTTATAAAAGAATGGATATTGCAAGTGTCTTAGACCTTCATGAACGTTTTCTTCATCTAATGATTTCTTGGTGGTTTCGACCATCCAGAGGTCGTTATTCTACTCTTAGAGCCTTGGATCTTTGGTGGTTACATTGTTTTGAAAACGGTATTAAAATAAATCTACCTCATATTATTTTTGCTGAAATTGTTGAAACTGTAAACCTTGTACCTAACAAGAATCTCTGTTCAACTCTAGTTTATGGTTGGATTTTGAGTAACCTATTTTCTAAAGCCGGACTTATAGTAGGTCTAGATGCCTCCTTTCCTATAAAGAAACAAATTAATCTTCTTTCCTTAACGAGAGCAAGATGGATTAAGGATAAGGAAACTGGTGAATGGATTCGATCGTCTGAAAGTACTCCGGGAGCAAGTTCTTCACGAGCACAACCAGAAGCTGACGACGATCCCGAGCTTGAACAATTAATGCAAGACATCGATGAAGACGAAGATGATCCTGAGCAGCCCGATGAGCAAGCACAACAAACGCACCAAATGCCTCCATATTTTCAATCTTTTATAGAGACATTCGATTTCCGATATGCTATCTTGGATTCGCGCTTTACTTCTATAGAGTCCCATTTATCCACAATAGGAGCTCAACAATTAGAAATTCTTCGGGAGATGCGTACAAACAACGAAGCAACCAACGCGCGTATTAATGAACTCACTCACGAAATGGCTGCTATGCGAGCTCGTTTTCCTCTTCCTGATCCGGATGTTTGATTCTATGCTTAGTTTTTAAAAACTTTGAACTAAAAGATTATTGTTTTAACATTTTGAATATTTTAGAATGTTTGAATTTGTGGATTGATTGATTTTGAATTTGTTTGGATTTATGAGAACTTATATATTTGGTGTGGTTAAATTTATTCATTACTGCATCATTTACATCATTTTAGCAATATGACCAATTTTGCCATGTCACATTAATTATGAATATTGATTATGAAACTAATGGCTAACGTTTCTCTTGATTGTGATCTTAGCAGCTTAATCTATATACTCAATTGGCTAAATGATTTCAAAACCTTGTTTAAATTCTTTACAAATGTCTTTTTGATTTAATAAAAAGGGGGATAAGTGTTAAATGTGTTAAATGTTTTAAAAGATGAGTAAGTGTTAAAGTAAGGGGGAGTAATTTTCAAAAACGTCGGTTTTTGATTTCAAAATCTTAAAATTACTAAAATGTTTTGTTATATCAAAAAGGGAGAGATTGTTGAAAACATTTTAATATTTCGATATAACAAATTAAGTTAAAAGAATTTTAAGATTGTGCAATAAGGTTTTCTAAGTATATTCGATATAATTATTCGAATATCAAAACATTACTCTAAATCTTTTAAAAATCATTTTTAATTCTTACTCAAGTGTAAAATTATGTTTTAATCTTAAAACAATTTGAAAATAATTTTACAAAGTATTTCGAACCATTTCAAAGCTAAAAATTCCAGATTGCTCAGAGGGAATCGATTCCCCCCCAAGGGGTACTGATTCTCCCTGAATGGTTTGGCTCCGAGAATTTCAGTATGCTCTGAGGGAACCGATTCTCCCCAGGGGTACCGATTCCCCCTGTGTAACGGTCAAAATATTTGAATTTTACACTTAGGGAACCGATTCCCCATAGGGGGTATCGACTCCCCCAACGCTTCAAGCTGTTTTATTAATTTTTTTCACACTAAAACGGTTATATTATCTTCTCTAATCATCCCCAACATTTAGAAGTGATTCAAGATGTATTTAAGCAAGCTTAGAAGCCATTGATCAACAACAAGAAAACATCAAGCAACTAGAATCAAGAGAGAATCAAAGAGAAAGCATCAAACCTCAAGTTTTGAGCATTTCAAGCCTATTTTTCATTCAATATTCATTTTGCTTTCAATAACACTTATTGTGCTCAATTGTATTCATTTTTTAGTGTTCTTTTCTTTGTGTTCTAGAATTGTGCAAACAATCTACCTTATGAGGATTTCCTTGTAAGTTTGCAAATTTATATTGTTCTCTTTGGGAGAGAGTGTTCTCAAGAATTTGGGGTATAATTCTTGAGGGTTTGTAAGGTTACTCTTTGTCCTCAAAAGAAAGACAAATTAGTGAATTTGTGAAAAATTCTTAGTGTGGATAGCTAAGGTAGTGGACGTACACTTTGGTTGAGAAAGTCGAACCACTCTAAATCGTTGTGCAATTATTTTCAATTTTCTGCAAAAGCTTACACCAAAATTTTATTGCCAATTCACCCTCCCTCTTGGCCGATTCTGTCAATCAATTAACTCAACAGTATGCCTCCAAAAGATAACACTAAAATTGTTCTTGCTGGTTCAAAGAACAGATTTGCAGTTTTATCTGCATCTGAGGATTCTGTTTCTCCTACAGATCTTGTTCTTAAGAAAAGAGCTGCTTCTTCTGGAGTGGCTGCCCTTTTAACTGAACTAAAATCAAAAAGAAAAACAGAATGAAAAAGTTAAGAATGCTGATGTGAGTAGCATTGTGGCTACCACCTCTTTTCATTCTCAATGATTGTTGGTTTTTGGAAGATTAGAGGTATAAATAGTCTTTTAAAGCAAGTAGGTGTTCTTAAGAGAGCTATCCTTAATAAAATTGATGTTTTGTGCCTTTTGGAAACTAGAGTGAAAGCAAGTAATGTTGCTGCTATTCTTGACAATAAATTTGAGCACTGGAATTCTATTACTAACTATGATTTTGTTGATAATGGAAGGATTTGGATCATTTGGAAAAAGAATCTGGATTTTTCTGTTATTCATGTTTCTAGCCAATGTATTTCCATCAAAGGTCATTACCTCAGTATCCCTCTGATCATTACAGTTGTCTATGGAAGTAATCATGGAATTCTTCGAAGACAACTTTGGCAACATCTTTTTGATTTGGGCAAGTTGTATGGTAATCTTTCTTGGGTTCTGGGAGGAGATTTTAATGTCATTCTTAACTCCAATGAAAGCTCTAACTCTTCCAGTTTAGGACCTTTTCTTTCTTCCGACATGAAGGAATTCCAAGATGTTGTCTTTGATTTAGAACTCTCTTATCACCCTTTCTTTGGCCCCACCTTTACCTGGAGCAACAAACAACAAGACTCTTACCTTGCAAGGAAGCTTGGCAGAGTCATTGTCAATCCTAAGTGGTATAGATCATTTCCGAAATCCCATGTTGAATTTCAAGCTCCGGAATTTCTGACCATTGTTTGGCTATTACTTTGTTAACTAAAGAACTCATGTTGATCATCCAAAGCCTTTCAAATTCTTTAACTTCTGGGTTCAACATCCAAAGTTCATGGATGTGGTGAGACAATCATGGCAAACTCCTTCACAAGGCAGCCCCATGCAGAATCTATTTTTCAAGTTAAAGCGCTTAAAAAATAGCTTGAAATCACTTAATCAACTCTTTTATAGTGACATTTCAGCACGTGTTAAACAAAAGAAATTAGAGCTGGAAACGCAACAATTGTTATCTTTAAGAGCCGAAGATTCCTACCATAAAGCTTCTTGTGCAAAACGAGCTGAAAATCTTAGAAGAGGCTGAAAATATTTTCTTAAGGCAAAAGTCTAAAGTCTAATGGCTTAAAGATGGTGACAAGTGTACAAAGTTCTTTCATTCGGCAGTTGCTATTAAAACAAAGAGGGAAACTATCAGAGTTCTTGTTGATGACAATGGAAATAGACTTGAGTCGTATGATTCAATGACTTCCGAATTGATAAGGTATTTCACAAACTTGATTGGATCTGAAAATCCTGCAGTTAAAGTATGTGACCAGACTTTACTTCAAGAACTAATTCATTACTCTCTGCCTTCTGATGCTTCCAATGCTCTTATAAAAGAAGTAACTAGGGATGAGATTAAGGAAGCATTTTTCTGTCAAGGTAATGAAAAAGCTCCAGGAACTGATGGCTACACTCCTTATTTCTTTAAGAGCATATGGTCTATTATTGAAGAAGATGTGGTTGCTATTATTACTCAATTCTTCAAGGATTTTACTATGTTGCCTGCTTTCAACTCGACTTCAATCACTTTGGTTCCTAAAGTCCCAAATCCTTGTAAAGTCAAGGATTTCAGGCCTATTTCCTGTTGTTCAGTGGTATACAAAGCTATTACAAAATCTTGGTTAAAAGACTCACTTTTTTACTCCCTGATATTATTTCACTCAATCAATATGCTTTTGTTAAAGGAAGGAACGTTGTTGATAACACTCTTTTGGCATAGGAGCTTGTCAAAGGTTATGGTAGGAACACTATCTCACCTAGGTGATCTTTGAAAATTGACATTCACAAGCATTCGATTCATTGCATTGGGGATTTGTTTTGGCGGTTCTTAATGTTATTGGCCTTCCTCCTACTTTCATCAAGTGGGTTAAAGCTTGGTACTCTATCTCGTTCAATGGAAGTCTCATAGGATATTTCAAGGGGCCAAAGAAGACAAGTGATCCAAATTCTGGTACTGTCTATGAACGTGTTATCAAAATTCTCACTGCTTTCGTCGATGATCTACTTATTTTTTGTAAGGGGATGTGAATCTGTTGTGGGAATTATTAGTGTTTTGGAACACTTTTATGTATTTATGGCCTTAAATCAATGCTAAAAAAATGTGAATTCTATGCTGCTGGAATATCCCTAGGCAAATTGAGGAAATCAAGCGTATTATTGGGTTCAATCAAGGCTATTTACCAGTTTAGATACTTGGGAGTTCCTCTAGTTTCTAGGAAACTCTTAGACAAGATTGTGTTGCTCTCATCGGTAATATCAGGGAACGCTTCATCAATGGTCACGAAGACACTGAGCTATGATGGTCGATTAGAGCTTATTAAAATTGTCCTGCTTAGCATCACAAATTTTTGTTGTAGGCAATTAATCCTACCCAATCTGTCCTTCATAGAATTGAGCAACTATGTTCACGTTTCTTTTGGAAAGGTTCGGACAAGTCAGCTTCGGGTGCAAGAGTGAGCTGGGGGAAACTCTGTTTACTTAAATCTGAAGGGGGTTTAGGACTTAAAGATATAAAGTCCTGGAACAAGGCATGTATGATGCACTTGATTCGGAAGCTGCTTGCGGGTGGTGGTTCATTATGGATAGCCTGGATTAGGAGTTATATTATTAAAAATTCAGATTTCTGGAATCTGGAAATTGGTCTTAACATGAGTTGGATTCTCCAATGTATGCTTAAAATGTGGTCTCAAGCTTCGAATGTTCTTTCAACGGGAGCTCTTACTATTAAGGACTGTTAGCTTCAAATCAGAAACAAGGAGGATAAAAAATTTGGCATAAGTTAATTTGGTTCCCTCTCCATATCCCAAAGTTTAGCATTATAACTTGGATGGCTTTGCTAAATAGACTTCCAACTAAAGATAGATTGATTGGAATGGGATTTCATATTGATAATCAATGTGTGCATTGCAATGACTTTTTGGAATCTAGGAATCATTTATTTCTTCATTGTCCTTTGTCTAGCTCATTATGGGATGCAGTTTTACACCTAAATGGCATTCGAAGAAGATCATGCTCTTGGGATGATCACATATCTTGGGCTTGGGCTACATGGAAAGGCAAATACCTACTCTTCACTATCATGAAGCTTGCTTGGACTTCTTTTACTTATACAATATGGGAATAGAGGAACAAAAGGTTATTTACAGGTTGCTCAAGATCTTTTGAAGCTTTGTTCCATGCCATTCAAGATATAGTGGCTATAAAATTACGGGGTAGAAGCATTAATAGGAATGATAGTGTTAATATCTCACTTTGTAATTAATGGGGTATAGTTTATTGAAGTTATTTTGTTGTAAATATTGATTGTAAGTTCTTGTTACTGTTGTAAGAACTTACTGCTTTTTGTAGCAGTTAACGACTCTTTGGATAATAAAAATGATTTATCCACACACAAAAATATAACTTATAAGGGTGACAAACTTCGTATTTAACGACGTTACAATCCAAAGGTTTTTTAAACTTGACACTTCATCAAATGGATGTTCTTTGGTATAATAACCTTTTTAGCCCCTAATTTTATCGGTTCAACCATTTTAGCCTTAAAGTTTTATTTCATCTCTTTCGGCGTTGCACATTTATTTTATTGTCAATCTGGCCCAAATATGATAGGCAGTAACAACTTCGTTAGGATGATATTAGTTATTTTACCCTTTTTTCTATGCCAACAAAAAATTCAAAAATAATCTCATAATATTTATAAAAATAAAAGTTCGAAGAAGCTTTTAAAACGCTATAGAATAAAAGTAATATTAGTTGAATTAATTGGACAGACCAGATAATTTTTTTTTGAAAATAACATTATTGCATTAACCGTGAAGGGCATCCCAAATAAGAACATCAGAGATACACATAAGAAAGTCATGAGCATAGAAAAAGAACTAGATAAAGATAAAACATATTGTGCAAGACCATGTACTGCAGTATTGGCCGAGCCGCGGATGCAACGAACACTAAAATTCTACTTTCATTTTAAATTAAGTTATTAAAATTTATAAACGAACAATATATTAATTATTTTTAATTACATGAAATATATATGTATATATATATACATATTTAATTAAAGTGAAAATTAAATGTAAAAATACATTTGAAATGCACATGTCAAAAGAAATTAGGGTAAAATACGAAAATGATCGCTTACCTTTTATTTGTATACTTTACTCACTAAATTCAAAAAGGTTAAGTTTTGGTCACTTGTATTATCGTTTTATTGATTTTTGGTCACTAGGACGTTGATTGCCATTAATTGGATGACATAACACGTTAGTAAAAGAGTTTACTTTTTATTTTAACCCTTATACTTTATATAAAATACTAACTATTGACCTTTTTGTAAATTTAAAGTAGTTTAAGGATTAATTTTTAGTTTGCCCTTTTTCAATAAAAGTTTAAGTATCAAAAGAATAAAATGAAAATTTAAGGGCTCAATTGATTAAATTTGTAGAGTTGGAGGACCAAAAGATTTTTTATGCGTTCTTTTGTATTGAATGTCTCACTCATTCATCAAATTTGCATTGTTTCATCCCGAAACAAACACCAAATAATTTAGCCTTATGTCTCAAGCATTGTCTTTTTTTTATCCTCCAGTTTCAAGGTTTTGCCTTGCCTAATCTGAACTGACTCGAGTCACACACCTGACTTTGGTGGGTGAGTCTCCCAACGAAGATTTTCTGCATACACAAGGACTCGAACATGAGACATTACTTAAGCGATATCAAACTGTTTATCACTTGAATCAACTCGTTGGTTGTCTCAAGCATTTTCTTTAAACCGCACATTTATATTTTTTTTCCACAAAGGAAAATTCTCTTTCTTTTCCTTTTTTTTTCCATTTTCAACTGAAATTATTGAGTTAAAATGGGTAAGACTGTATTTTTGAAAACATGAATATGATGAGATGCTTTTTTTCTATTGGTGAAATTTCATTAAGCTCTAAGTTTAGGTATTAAACCTTAACGTATGCATGAAGCAACTAGTGAAGTGGTTGGTTCGAGTAGCCGATTAGAGAAACCACAATCACTGGTATTTAGGGTTACATCTTAAAGCAGCCCTCTTTTAATACTAAACTTTTATTTTAAGCCTTTAAATCATTTAGTTATAAATGGAAAATTGCACTCCCAAACCTTCCTAAAAATTAATTATTTAATTCGAGTCCTTTCAAATAACTAATTTGGTCCTAATTACACGTATTAAAGATTTATAATGAATCTCTTCTATGGGTAAGACCCCATAGAGATTGGCTAAGTTGGAATTGCTTATTTATGTTCATTTTCTTTTGTTTTTTGTGTTGTGTATCAACTAGTGTTCCACCTAAGATTCCAACAATAGATAGCAACATACTTATCAACTAGACTGTAATTTCACATGGATGTAGTCTATTTGTTAAGAGTGGTTAAAATAGTTAAAGTTTTTCTTAGGTCTTTAATATTTTCCTTGGATGATCATTGCGTGTGTGATCTTGAGTGAATAGTTTCTTGTGTTTATGGTTATAGGAAAATATTCTTATTATGTGTTTAGTTTACGGTTATAATTGTAAACCTCCGTTGTAATTCTAGATATTTTCTCATTTTTAATAAAACTAGTGGCTTCTATTAATAGAATGTTAATGGGAGGTATAGTATCCACACAAAGTGATCGAAGCAATAGATAGAGTAGAATTTTGAACGATTGATGGTGATTCTAGAATATTTGGGAATCCATATTCCTTGACATTTATATAATAAATTAATGGTGAATTCGAGTGTGACTACGATCATAAATTAATGGTGATTTTCAGCACAACAAAACAATAAAGCTCAATAGTTGTAAAACAATAAAATTCCATATTCCTCATATTCAATCTAATCCAATTAAAAACAACTCTTCAAGTTTTTAAATACCCTTCATACTCATCCATGGAAGCGATTTATCTCTTCATTTTACTTGGGAGGAGGGCGTGAGCCAAGGAGGCCCTGCTGCTGCAACTGAAGCTCATTGAATTGCTGGTCACGGTCCATCTCGATGATAAGTGGCACCACAAGTATAAGGAGCGTTGTCCCCGCCAACCATGCCGCTTTTCCAGTGCTCTTCATCAGCTTCTTCGAGACGTAGGCGGCGTCATTGGCGACCCTCTTGGTGGCGTTCGTGATTCCGGACTCGGATACTGCGCGGGACAATCTAGCCACGATGCTCGTGCCGTCGTCGTTTGCGGTGGAGCCTTGCCCGAAGACCGACATGCTTTCTTTATAAATGAAATCTCGAGGATAGAAAACCAAGCGAAGGCTTTTGTCCTAGAGATAACGTTTTGGTTTTAACATGGTTGGCAGTGGCGTAAGGCAAGAGGGGCTAGTGGGAGCCATGGTCCCTCAAAATTAGAAAAAAAAATACAGGCCCTTAAAATCTTCAAAAAAATTTAATTTGGCCCTCTCAAAATTTTTAGAAATTTATATTAAACTTTAAAAAAATTTAATATTCTTGATTAAACCCCTTCCCATGATTTTTAAAAATTCTCATTAAGCCTCTCAAATTTTCAAAAATTTAGTTAGACCCTAATTTTTTGGAAAAAATGTAAACTAAACCCTTCAAATTAAAAAGAATTAATTTAAACCTCTAATTTTTTAAAGTTTTAAATTGGTCCTCCAAACTCTATCACCAAGTTTCGTTTAATGATGGTTGGGGATTTTCATTTTTTTCTTCATTGAGATAAATTTTATTTTTTATTGCACTTAAAAGAATGTCTGATATTTTTACCAGGTATATTGGTAATGAAATTTAGAAAAAGTTTAGTGGGATGAAGTACTAGAATCATTAAGTAAGGTTAGGAGTTGAGTTGGGAAGGTCGTTCTCGCATGTACAGTACCCGATCCGAATGAATCTATTAATAAATTAGATATTGATGGTTATAAAAAAATATTTACAAGTTATATTTTAAAAATAAATAAATAAATTTTTGATAAATTTTAATTAAAAATCATTATCAATAAATCAAAGTTGTTTTTGAAGTTATATTGATAATGAAATTTAAAAAATTTCAAGAATGAAGTTGAAAAATTATCCAATGTCTTCAAATTATATTTAAAAAGTTATCCTTATTTAGATTTGTTACTAATTAAAATATTTTTATCAGTTAAATAAAAGTTTAATTATTTAAAAGACATTATTGATTATAAATTATCGATTGATCTAGTAAGATGAAATATTAAATATATTTTTTCATTAAAAATATTAATTTTTTAAAGGTTTGGGCTTTCATTGTCAAATGGTTAAAGGAATGGTTGTTATTCTCAGAGGTCTCAGGTTCAGACACCAGTGACTCTAAGGTATTTGAGCATTCACAGCCAAATGGTTAAAGGAATGGTTGTTATTCCTAGAGGTCTCAAGTTTGAACACCATAGACTTTAGGGTATTTGGACATTCATTATCAAATGATTTAAGGAATGGTTGTTATTCCTAGAGGTCTCATGTTCGAACACCAAAGATTGTAGTGTATTTGAACATTCGTTGTCAAATGGTTAAATGAATGGTTGCTATTCCTAAAGGTCTCAGGTTCGAACACCAAATGCTAGTATTTAGGTGTTTATTATTAAATGATTAAAGGAATGATTATTATGCATAAGTCTCAAGTTCATGCTCCAAAAACTACAAGATATTTGGACGTTCATTGTCAAATGTTTAAGATTTGAATCTTGAATTTTTGTTAATAGAACAATTTTAATTTTAAGAATTGATTTTATAGTGAAAATTATAATACATAAATTGTCATACCCTAATTTAGGGACTAAATTACAAAGCTATAAAAGTTTTTATGTTTTTTGTGAGCTCTCAATAGTGTAGGGACTAATGACATAATTAGCCCATTAGTTTAGGTTAAAACCCAATTTTCTCTCTTTCATTTTTTTTTTCTTGTTTGTGTAAATCCTCCAGGACTTTTTTTTTCTTTTTTTGGCCAATTCATATTTTGTTTAATTCATCGTTGCTCAGTCCGTCACGGTTGTCATCGTCGAAGTTATTATGGTTGGCTCGTCATCCTTGTTTATCCGGTGTCCTTGATTCATCGTTCACCGTCGTTGTTTGTAGCCAGGGAAGAGTTGAACGTTCGATTTTGTTAAAAACTCTCTCATCATAATTCTTTTCTGGAAAATAACGTTTGTGACTCATCGTGCTTCAAAACTCAATTCTGTAATTTTCCATATTTTCCAGCCCCTACAGCATGCCTCACACGTCCTCACGCATCGATTTCACGTGTGGGAGTGTTTTATCGATTCAAACAGTGAACTGGTCTGACCCTAAATCATTTTTGACCCAAACTAAACCGTTGATCGTTGATTATTGACCGTTAATGTAACACCCCAAATTTCGGGCTAGTAGTTTCGGGTTTATCCGAAAGGTAAGTGGACCTCTTAAAATTTATAAATTAAGTTGTTGGGTTTAATTGGGTTGGTTTTGAGGCCCAATTAGACATAAAAAGGAGATTTTAAAATAAGGGACAAAATGCAAAGGACCAAAAGAGCAATTAGACCATTGATGGAAATTGAAACTAAAATTTAACATTTTATACCATTTTGGACGTGGGTTTCTCTCATTTCCTCTGCATCCTTTTACTTTCTCTTTTTCCTTCCTTTCCTATCCAAGATCCATAGCAAGGTAAGATCTTGAGCTATTTTGTACTTCATTTTCGTCCTAATAAATCTCCCAACAACTTCATTTTTGAAGATTCAAACTTTTGCAAGAAAAAAGGGGTTTTCATCATCCAAGCCTTGAGGAAGGTGATTGCTAGCTAAAAGAGCTCTATTTCGGGATTCAAACATCAAGGTTGTGTATTTATATTCATTTGGAGTGTTAAGCTTTCATAAATTTAAAGATTTTGCTAAGATTTGAGTATTAAGCATTTTTAGGTTTATATTTGATTTTATGATCAAATGACGTTTTAGAGGTTTAAAAAACTTTTTTATGCCACTTTTAGACCCTAGTTAACTCCCTAAAGCTTTAGTGGACATATGTATTCATAGGACCTTACTCATGTATTCAATTTATTAAACTCAATGTTGTATTATTTTGGTTTTAAAGTATGTGTCACGGACCTCTGGTTTTGTAAAATGATTTTATATCAGTTATTTATGACTTATCATGATACCATTCAATATGTTTGAAAAGAAAATGAACAAGTTTTTAAAATCAGGGTTGCCTCGATAGCCTAGTGTGGCACTTTATGCCCAATCGGGTTTAGGGTGTTATAATTAACTTTGATTGTTAGCCGTTGTCTATTGACTTTTACCGTTGACTTATCGTTTTAACCCCATACCCACATGTTTTTCAATGTTCTGAGTCTATTTTCATAATCAGTTTTGTCAAATTCTGAACCAAAAACCGCATTTTGCGTCATTTATTGTTTTAATTCATAATTATGTTGAGTAAATTATGGAATTTTGGGCTCACTTTTTGGTATTATATTCTGAAGGTGATCAGATTAATGAGTCCTCGTATTGTTTTCCTGTAGGTTCCCACCACCCTAGCTTAGCTCAATTTCATTATGCATATTCATCTCGAGATACGTGTAAGTGTTGTTTAGTAAACTTAATAGTCTGTTTCTTTTTAGATATATGATTCCCGTACTCATATAATAGGGTATTATTTTTAGGTTCCCATTCCGCAAGATCTAGTATTACCAACCGTGAAAAGCGTAAGACTTAGTTGGTATTGATCAGCTGCTATAGAAGTGCCCCATTGACCCACAAGATGTATTTAATAATTTTATGTTATTATATTGTATGATGATATTTGTACGTATGTTCTTATTCTAGTTATGTTTATCTGTGAAAGGTTCGATTTTTGATTGTTGTTACATCACCTTTAGTCTGTGTTTTAATGTATTTTTTCATCTGCAATGGGATCTTCTACGGGGGTAATATCTTCGTCATGTTTCTGCATGAGATTTTCTACAGAGGACAATATCCCCGTCTTGTTTCTGTTTGATATCCTTTTCGGGTGGCTATATCTTCACCTTGATTTCTGTTTATGACTGGGATCATTTTTTTGAGGGCATTATTCCCATCTTGATTTCTGTAATATGATTTGGGTACCTTTTCGGAGGGTACCATCCCCATCATGTTTATCCGCGGCAAAATAAAAGGTTGTGTGAAATTTTTTGTTAAAATATTCTTGTAATGGACTGTTAATTTATTGTTGCATGTGTTTTGATTTATACTTTATTTCTTATCTGAAGTATTTAAAGACTTATTATCAATATCTGATGCATTTAGAGGACACATTGAGCTCTATAGCTCATTCTTTTAGTTTCTGTCTTTTCAGATCCTTCTTACTTTTAGGATTGTTACTGGTATTTGGAGGATCGGCTAGTACCACGTTTTTATTTTAGACATTGTATAGATGTTTTCAGACTATTTTATTTCCTTTTCCTTTAACTTTTATATATTTATATTAGGGTTTTGGAATATTATATTTTATGAACTCATATTTCTGTTTACAAATTTACATCGATTTTTGATAAAGCATGCTATAATTTGAAATTTTCATGATTTATATAATTTGAATCATCGTGATCTTTAAGATTCGGTCGTAATGTCCAGACCAGGTCTAGAGAATCACATAAATCTAAATTAATCAATTATTATATTAAATATTAAGTGATTATAGAAAATTTCAGCTTCTTCTGAACTCCTACTATATCTTGCTTTTGATGCTAAAATGTTCCGGCGTGTGCAGGATGTTGGTGTTTGTTATGCATTCGTTGAGTTCGAAGATATAGTGAGCGTCCATAATGCAGTCAAGGTCTGAATTTACTTCAAGCATCTACCAAAAACACACTTTTCTTGTTTAAGTAATATCTTAGCTTTTTCATCCATTTTTCTTCTTTCACACTGTGTCCTTCCTATTTGTTTTGGTGTTTAAGATATGATATCAATGTAATTAATTCATGTTCATATAAAATTTTCATCTTGATAGATATTATTTACTAATCTAGTGAAATCATGTGTGCATATAGGCAGGAACTGCACAGGTTGCTGGACAACAAGTGTACATTGAAGAGCGGAGACAAAACGGCTATATCCCATCTCAAGGAGGAAGTACATATTTCTTTCCCTTTTCTTTTAATGGATGTATTATTTCCGTATTGGAATATGTTTTATATTTTCAAATTGATACATTTGTTTCCCATACTTATTCGGCAGTTAAAATGTTCTGGACAGGGAGGGGTAGAGGCCGGGGAAGCTACCAAACAGAAGCTCCGATGGGGCACTTTGGCCCTCGAAGTTATGGCAGGGGAGGAGCCAATGATAGAAGTGAGAGTCTACAGTAGGTCCAGAGGAAATAGTTTTTACCACCCAACTCCTAGACAAGATCGAGTCTTATCCGGCCAACAAGTATCAAAAATTGGACAAAGTTCATAGAGCAAGAATCTTTTATCATCAATGAAGGGATCAAACTATGGTTGCAACCACCACAATTCAACATATTTATTTATAGTTAGATTCAATAACTGATATTCAATAACAATATATCAGGTATTTTCGTTAGGTAGCATACTATGAATAGGCAATATGCTTTTATAGTTTGGTGTACTTTTTCAATTTAAAGGAAACTAATCCTATTTTTCCTCTACATTGTTCATGCTTGATCTAAAGTTTGATACTTTTTTTCTTCTTTTGGATGTATTTATCTAATCAACAGGCTCATTAGAAAGACTGACAAAAGGAAGATATTGCTATAATAGTGAAAGGATGTAAGATAAAACATTAATATATGTTTTTTTTCCCAATATTGTTTGATAGATGACAAAAACATTGGTAACTTGAACTACTGATGCAGTACCTTAAATTTAAGCTTTTTATGAAATATAAGAGTGTATGGCCTATGAGTTTTTTGTAGGCAAAGCTCCATTCTGAAGAGAAACTAGAATGTGATCTTGCCTTGTGTTGTCATCTTCATCTTCTTATGTTTCCCAGAGAAAGCTAGCATATGCTCCAAGAATATTGCTGTGGAGGAGAAAACGGGACAAGAATTTCCCAGGTAGATCATTAATAACATTTTCTTGTAATTGATACCCTAATAATGGATTTTTTTAGGGTAAACTACACATTTAGTACCCCAAATATAATTTTTTTTCTGTTTGGTCACCAAACTATTTTTTTCAAAATCACACCTAATGTTTAGTTTTGATTATATTTTGATCACCTATTGTTAAAAAATAACGATGATGTTGACGTGTCATCATAAGGTAATGTCATGTCATCATTAACAAAAAAAAATGTCACGTTAGTAGTTTTGTTATTGTTTACTATGGATGACCAAAATGAAATCATAACCTAACGTAACGTTAGGTATGATTTTGAGAAAAAAATAGTTAGATGACCAAAATGATAGTTGGATTACTAAATGTGTAGTTTACCCTTTTTTAACTAAAGAACAAGATTAAAAGATTCCCACATTTCTCAAAATCATTAAAGAATAAGTGTCAGTTTACTAATCTCGTTTATGGAGTATAAAACTCATTTGATGGTGGATGGAATCATTTTTCTTAAAAATAATCATTTTTATTGATAACTAAAATCACTTTAGATCTCCAAGGCATTGCAGAAAAATAGAACAGGAGTCGAGTTAAGTAAAGTTTAAATTACCTATTTCCAGGATTAGTTTCAACTGCTAGCTCAAAGTAGTGTGAAGCTTTATCATGGTCATGGCGAATATCCCATACCAATTTGGCATATTGTGACATGGTTTCACCATCTCCAGGGCCTGCTTGTATGGCTCGTAAATAGTATTCCTCAGCTCCCTCGAGATCTCCTTTAGACTGCCAATTAACAAATAAAGGGCGAAAATGGCAGTCAAAATGAGAACCATCCACTTATGTTGATGAATACAAATCTCTGTTGCATTATGTTTTCCTATGCACTCGTGCAGATATTAAGCAAATTAAACTAAAAACGCGAGTGAGAGAAAGAAATTTATACCTGGTGTAAAAACCGAGCATAATTGTTTAAAACTGAAAGTTTCCGGGATTTTCCTGAACCATCCTCCTATAATAATCCTCCATATCAAGATCCTGGATATCAGTATGAACCCCAGAGCCTGCTGGATTTGGAGGGTGCATGGATAGGTTAGCTAGCTTAGTTTCTTCAGGTAGTAAGTTTTTGGATGCCTTCATAATTTCATCTCCTTTAACCTGAGAAAAAGTAAGAGCCATTATAGCATTGCCAACAGTATGCCACATGTTTATTCTCTATAAGAAAATGAAGATGGCTGCTCTATAATTCAAGAATCAAATGCGACCTTCAGGTATTCTTGCTGGTCTCCATGTTCCTCTCCATCATCCCCTATTTCCCAGAGGAAACTAGCGTATGCTCCAACGACATTGCTGGAAAACAACGAAAAGAAATGAACAAACTAAACTTGGGATCTGGATCTGACCAGTTCATCAAAAATGCAGTAGGCAAGTTCATCTTACCCTTGTTCTTTTCGACAACAAAATCATGCCAGTTAAACAACAAATTTCGAAACACAATAGTAATTCGCTTGACGAGACATTAGATGACTGATTTTTAAAGTGCCTGCCCTAGCATAGATAAGCACTGACCTATCTTGAGGAGAAGCTTGAACAGCACGTTCAAAGTAACTAAGGGCTCTATCTTTGTCATGGTGAAGATCCCATACTATTTTGGCATACTGCATGAGATTTTTGCTATCTTCGGGGTCTGCTAGCGTTGCACGATGATAATAGTCCTCTGCTCCTTGAAGATCTCCCTTGGACTGTAAGAAGAGATTCAATCATGTTCCAAAAAACCGAAAGATAAACCGTTCTTTCATTCTAGAAAACAAAAAGGGGAAAAAGAATCCAAGTTTCATAAGCTATCTGTGCATTCTGAAGCAATTTACATGGGATCATATGATCATCTTCTGTAAAACCTACTTTGAAATAGATCTAAAATACACCTAAAAAAGCTAAAGCTCGGTCAAATTTTGGATACCTTGATAATTAGCTTGTTCATCAGTCACATCGCATATATCAAACAGATTACTTTATATCTACAGCAAACATCAAATAGTCTAACCTGCAAGAATTTAGCATAATTCCTTAGAAACAAAGGATGACAAGGGTACTCATCAACCAGCCTCCTATGAAACTCTTCAGGATCTTCAGTCTCATCAAGCTCCATGGAACTTAAATCAGCACCATCAGCCATGGAACTAAAGCCAACACAATCAATCCCAAGACCTGCAGCAAGATACATGGGAGGACTAGGTGGCATAAGTTCAACTTCTTCATCATCATAAGTACTTCGAATTCGGTTCAATCCTTCCTTTTCCTCGTCTCCTTCTTCTTCCTGAATTAACTCCATACACTTCTTCCGGAAGCTGAAATCCAGATTCCCCGCAGCATCAATGCCCTCACCAATTGTAACCGTTCTCTCCAATGCCTCCTCCCCCACTGGGCCATCTTCAACCCCTTCACTGAATATCGAAAAAGACGGTGCACTATGCAACATTGTTATATCATGCCTATGGAAAGATCCTTTCGATGTTCTGATATCAAGAAACTGACCTATATCACAAGAGCTGTAATCTAATCTTTCTAAGCTTCCTTCAGACTTAGATCTCCGAAAGCATTCAAGGCGAAAACTAGCCGATTCCGAATCGAATTCAAACAACCCTGAAGTTGAATGAGACACGGCAAATGAACTACGCGAAAATGGTGTCAAGTTGAGTCTTTCTTGACAATGGGAGTTGAGGTTTCCCCCCTGTTTGCCATGAAGTAACCTGTAAGTAGCATCAAGATCTTTTTTTGAACCATCGACAAAAGGGAAGACAAGGTTTCCAATAACTGGGGTCGATGAGCTTCTTTGAAGCATTTCTTCAGTAACCTTAAATACTGATCTCTTTTTACCTAGATTTCTGTGCCAGCGAGCTGTTGAACAACAAAAAATATGATTAAACTAAACTCAAATTGACTTCCAAATTAATAATACATTAAAAGGGGGGAAATTCCAATATGCATATTCCTGCAATCTCAAGTAATCTTTGATCATTTGCCTCATTTTCTTCACTTCTTACTCAAAAATACCATTCCTTTATCATAACAAAACATACACCAAGTGGGAAAACAAAAGCAAAACACATTTTTTATCAGTTAAGTACAAATTGAAGAAGAAAATAACTTGGATTGATAAGAAAGTAAAGAATAAAGAAAGATGCATGTGATTCCTTATTGAGTAAACTTCATTAAAGCATCACATGAGGTTTACCATTTAATTTATTGTTGAATCTAAAAAAGGAGCAAAGAACCCAAGTGCCAACCTTATCAGATCAATTATTATTAAACCACTAGTCTAGATAATGGAAACTCATTAGAAAATAAAAAAAAAGGAAGAGATGCTACAGCAGTTTGTAGTAATGGTAAAGAGATGATAGCTCCACTTGTGGACATTTTTTTCCCGATTAACACAATTCCCAAATCCCACAACATAGTCAGAAAATGCCGCTCTATTTTAAAATATTAAATTATATTATTATCATAATACTTTTATGGTTTTTTAAATGAATAATAAATGCAAGGGGAAAATAGGATGTAGTTTGAGAGAGAGAAAACTGTAATATGGTATGATTGTAACAACGGTATTTATTTAATCTGTATTTAATAAGATGTTTGTTGATATAATTTTTAATTAATAAAATATCTTGATTATTTTTAAATAATAATAATAATTTTACTGAAACTCCAAATTCACCCTTCACTTTAACTTACAATTTTTCTCGTACCTACATTCTTTAATTTTTTTGTATTCTAATCTAGCTATTAAAATATACTTTTATAATCTTTGTAATTTGGAGATAATCTCAACTTTGTATTAAAAAATATTTTTTAGTTTTTAAAAACTATTCACTTAAAAATGATTAAAAATATAAAACAATCATATTTGATCGATAGTCAAATTATTTGTCTTTGTTTCTTCATATTTCTTTAGATTATATGTTTCACATTCATGAGTACTTTCTGTCATTCTCTTAAAGTTTCCCTTTCACCTCCTTTTTAAATAGGTTTAAGATTAGGATAAGTCGCTCGATGAGAACTATTGAACAACACTAACGATGAGCATCGTTGAGCACAATTAAATTAATTTATAAAAAATTAAAATTCTAAAAGAGTATAATTATAAATTAGTTAAAAATTTAAAGGTAAATTATTTCATATAAAATATTAATTACATTATTTTTTATAATCTTTTTTCTAACAATAATTGAATCAAATACCAACCCCTAAATTAAAAAACCTTAAATAGTTTTTGCCATTGAAGTCGCCGTCGCCATTAGCCTCTTCCACCAGCGAGATAATCTCCGTCATTTCTCCCCTATGTGGTCGCTGCTTGAAATAATGTAATTAATAATTAATATTTTATTTGAAATAATTTACCTTTAAATTTTTAACTAATTATAATTATAAGTTATGTCCTTTAAAATTTTAAATTTTTATAAATTAAATTAATCATTAGTGGTGTTCAGTGGTACTCGTCGAGCGTTATAGAATTTTTCTTATGATTAAATTTAAAATTTATCAGAAAAATGATACTATAAGTTTTAACAAATAAATTTAAAATTGTACATTTTAATATTAATATTTTAATTGTTTAAACTCGTAATACATCATTAAATATAAAATTATTGTTTAGTCTTTTCTAATTTCATAAATTAATTTAATTTTATTATCATATATTTTATTTATTTTTAAAATTAATTCAAATATATAAATATATATATGAAAGATTTATTTTCTCAACTAAAATGTTTGTTATAGTATAAATAGAAAAAGAGAGTTTGATATCTTTGAAGAAGACGCATGAAAAGTATGACGTTTTTCAAAAGATGCATGAAAAATATGACGTCTTCTCTATTTTATATATAGCTCAGTGAGCTATACAAACTAAAAATCATCGGACCATTTAAATATAATGATGTACATGTGTTGGGTTGGGTCAGGTTTCTGGCCAACCCGATCGACCCAAAAATTTTACACTGTCCACCCGAAATCCGACTTGACCTGAGTTTAAAGTAATTTCACCCAACTCGACTTTTGAGATAAAACTCGACTCCGACCCTACTGTAACACCCATGGCTTGTATACGTCTTGAAATATGAGCTAAAGATGTTACTTCAACTTGTCAGACACTCATTGAACATATATGGTTAAAGTTTTCTAAACATTCATATTTAAATTTATAAAAATGTATTCTTAGTTGATAAAGTCAAAAACTAATATAAAAACATCGAAAGCAAATCCATTTTCTGAACAATTACGTAGTTTAGTGATGTTTCATAAACTATATAGTACTGCCTAAACACTATTTAGTTTTAAAACCATTTAAAATATGATAGCATAAATAGTGGTTCGTTCATAAATACGAATATATCTAGTCTAATCAAAATAAAATGGTCCTAGTTATTATTACATGTCATTTAGAATAAAACTGATAAAGCAGACTGATTATATAAATATACATGTCATTACTAGTCAAAAGTAACATCAAAGATGTCTTACTGATACTGATAATGTAGACGATCTTCAAAAAGATGCTTGGGAGGGTCATCACTGCACGTCTGTAACTCTATTCGAACCTACACAAGAAAATCATTACGCACTAAGTATAACTTAGTGAGGCAATAATAACCTAAGGTGAGATAAAACATGAAAATATCATAAATAAAATAAAGCATTAAAAGTAAATTTAAACAAACGTTAAATTTTCAAACCGACTTATTCAAGTATGGTACTTCATTGTAACCTGAAAATCAACTTGTTTCATATTCTTGTAAAAATCATAATAAATAATATCGAATAACATGAACATATCATATTTTCTGCCAACTTAACATATTCTTAATTTGCATATTTATTTTTCTTAGCCCAAAGTATATTTAAGAGAATATAAGGTACGTGAGTAGAACATAATGGACATGAGCACCAACGGTGCAAATCATATTGTACATGAATGTACCATAACTTAACTTGAAAGTACTCAACTTAATGGCATGTGAAATGTACCTACGACTCTCAATGCAACATGCAATGGGCTTTTAATTCATAATATAATCATTTATTAATCAACGTCTGAAAATCATAAAAATTTAGAATTCTTCCTAATAAAATTCGTACTTGGGCAATTCATACCATAAAACATCCATAAAACATTTATGTAAACATTATGGAAATAATCCATAATTAAAGTAGAAAACATACTTGAAAAGTAATATGAAATTGACCTATTGCAAGTCATCATCTATCAAAATAATTAAATAAATAAATTGCACTCAACTTTGCCTCACTACCGAAACTTTTACACGATATTCCTAATCACGTGCTTTGTCCTTTCCTTTTGGGTCGTTTGAATCACTAGATTTATCGTAGTCTGACAACATAACATAATAACATATTATATTCAAACTATATGTTAGTATCGAACTAACATAATCTGAACTTAAAAATATAAAAGTCTATGAAATAAAATTGACACTTAATTGATACAAAACTAAATCATACTCCCAACATAAATTCAAACTTCTCATAAATACTCATTCAATTCCATAATGTTTATTTCATCATCAACCCTTCAACTTTTACTATGTAACCCCCTAGACCCGACCTTTGCGTTACAACCAGATCTAAAGGATTACGATAAAGTTTTCCAAAGCATTTTTCAATAATGTAAAACCATATTACAAATAAATATCGTTAAAAATATGGTTGATAACATTAAAATTCAATTCCAGATAATTAAAGTCATAAAAACTTAATAAAATAAAATATTCCAACATTTTCAAAAATATAGGCACATGTCACCCAAATTAAATGCAGCTCGGAAGATAAAAACATTACAACAAAAAGTATTGTATGAATGTGTCGATCCTCTAAGTGCCAAGTACGGGTCGCTTATCCAAAATATATGAAAGAGAAAAGTTTGGGGGAATGAGCTAGGAAGCTCAGTGTGTTCCAACAATGCAGAAATAAAGCATGTAATTAAGTTTTTTTTAAAATCAATTCAAATCACAGTTATTAAAACATCAGTAGAGTTTTTAGTTTAAAATTTCAGTATCGCCCTCCAAGTGAACACCATATGCAGTTCCCCAGAACTGTATCCATAAGGACTTACCCTAGGCCCGAAGAGCGTAGGTGCCAACCTAAGGGAGCACCTTGGGTCCATAAGGTCTTACCCTAGCCAAAGCATAGGTGCCCACCTGAGGGGAGTGCCCTCAGGCCCATAAGGACTTACCCAATGCACACAACAGATGTATCACCACTAAGCCCATTAGGCCCAGGAGCCCACCCAAGAGTTGACTTAGGTCCATAAAGAATTACGTCCAGTTCGATCAGTCTGATCCTATATAAGGAATTACCAATTTGACATAACTGAACTTGCAAAGACTTCGTACTAAATCCTAGAGTACCCCGGAGAAAAATATTTTTCATATAGTAACTAATGATAGTAGGAAATCAGAGTTCAGACATATTTATTTATCAGTAAAAATAGTAACCAGAGAACAGAAATCAGACAATCAGGCTTACTTTGGTAAAATAAAATATCAAACTTTAAATCATACGAAATCAAGTCAAACAGATAGTCACAATGCAAAGCAGATAAAACTTCATGTGCACATGATTTTTCAAACAGATATTTAAAACAGTTGTGTGGCATACAATGAACACACCTTGCAAAAAGTATCAGTTCGGGAGATCTATCGAACACCGGGTTCACTTGGCTCTTCGATTGAATGAGAACCTAAGTTATTACAGAACAATGTTATAATCAGAATAATAATCTAAACTGAATATTTAACAAGATCATAGAACTATATAAGTAATCACGGGCTGGCGCAGACGGACAGATCGGGAGGAATCGGGTCGAGCAGGCGAACGGCCAGGAGTTCCACGAGTACCTTAAATATTCAATAACATTAATTAGTCATTAACCCTTCAGTAAAATTTGATGCACTGAAATAAATACTTAATTTACACATGCACAATCGGATTTAACGGTCAATTCGAAGGCTTTCGGGTTTGAATTTGGCAAAACAGACTTCGGATTTGGACTCATGACATTAAAAAACATAAAATATGACTTTTCGAAAAATTTAACTTTTTGGTCAAAGTCAACAGTCAAGGTCAAGGTTAACGATCAACTCTGGTTAAAGTCAACGGGTCAGGTCAAGTCAATGGGTTGAGTTGGGTTGACTCAGTTCGAGTCAGACAAACCCGATTCAAACCAAGTTAGGCTGGTCCAGACCGATTGGACCTGTCTAGAAGGTTCCCTAAAACGTGAGAGAGCCCCACGCGCACACGACGGCGCGTGGCGGCACGTGCGACAGGCAAAACTTCGGTAGAGGTTGCCCAACTATCCCCCAAAGTATCCTTTCAACATCACAAACCACAACAAGCCAATAATCAACATTAAATCATTTCAATTTAACAAAAAATTAAAATCGTTCTTACCAACGTCGGCGGTCGGCAAAAACAACAACGATGGGCGACGACCCGGTCAGGTTTTGGTCGCACGGAGCTAGGGAGTCCGGTGCTCGGGGCGGTGAGGAGAGGGAACGATCGTGGCGGTCAAAAAATTGCGAAAACAGTGGCGGTGATGGGTTCTAACGAAACTTCAATCGACGATTCACGGCGTTTCACGGCGTTCTACAACAAGTCACGACGAGTAACCGGTGGGGTTTTGTTCTGGACGAGATGAAACTCCTACTGGTAAGGACGATGACGCTCATCGTTGAAAATCAACGGAGATCAGAGGTATCGGGTTCGAACGCGTTTTTGTTGTTTCATGCATAACGATGGTGGTTTAGGTGTTGATGGTCGGGGTTAGGTTCTCTAGGTGTCGTATGTGCTTGTGGTGGTGGCAGTGTGCGCCACTGCTGGTCGGAGACGGCTGGATTGGGAGGGGCGATAGGAGGCTTGGGTGGGTTGATTTGGGGTTTTTGGTTCACTGCACCGGGGGGTTGGTTTTGGAAATAGGTTATATCTCGGATTAAAATAAATTAAATATTATATTTTTTAAATTATAACAAATAGTGGCATAGTCTAAGTGGTAGATGCATGGTTGGCCATACCCTAGATAACGGGTTTAAAGCCTATCAACCTCACCTTCTTCAAATTTTTTTATTTTCTTTGCTGACATGTAAGGGTCAAATTCAAAGTTAAGTCACTAAACTTTCAGAAGCTTTAAAAATTGACCCCAAGTTTAAAGTTTTACAATTTGGTCCTCAAAATTAATTAAATAAATTTAAATTAAAACAATAATATTGAGGGTGTTACATACTAAATACATAATTAAGCCACTAATTTTAAATTCTTTCTAGAATTCTCTTTAACTTTTCCATTAAATTCATAATAACCCTCACCATTACCATTATGACCATGTCACATTAATGGAATTGAACCCAAGACTAGGGAGTAGACAAAACACGCGCCCAACCACTGTGCCATCTTCCACATACTTGCTTTTAAACTACTCAATAGTATATATATTTCATGTTGTAGGTAATGCCAGAATAGGAAATCAAAAGAAATCAGAGAATAAATGAAAAGATTTTATATTTTATTTATATAAAATTAGGAGCAACAAACCATTGAAGCAAATCATAAATTTAGATAATAAATGAAAAGATTTTATTTATATTTTAAACATTAGTTTATATAAAATTAAAAGGAAAATATAATTTAAGATTTATATATTTTTATATGATTTAAATTGAGTATTTTTAAATTAATTGATAATTTTATTATTTATTATAAAATAAAATGTATGAATCATTTTATATTTTAGTTAATTTTTATTAGGTAATGTAGTTCAAATCGACTTTAACTTAAGTTTCATTAACATGATTAAAATTGAACATTATTAAAATCAACTTTAAATTGTACAATTTGAACTACACAATCTAATTAAAAAAATATTAAATTTATTTTATTTTTTAATAAAAATAAAATTATTAATTAAATTTAAATTTATTCAACTTAAATCATATTATATTTTTCTTTTAATCTTATACAAACCAGTATTAAAAATATATATGAAGTGTATTCATTAATTAAATAAATTTAAGATTTACTTTAGTGGTTTTGTGTTTCTAAATTAGTCAATGTCCTAGCCTAGGACATTATTGTGTAAGAAAAATACAAATGTGGAATTCGGTTCAGTGGTTGGGCGAGTGGTGGGTGCTCATCAGTTTCTTTGATTTCCTCTAACCAGATGCTGAAATTAAAATATAAAAACCCTTTAATCTAATGGTGACACATGTCATCATATAATTGATAGATTAAATTTATTAAATTAAATTAAAAATAAGACTAAATTAATAAAATGTATAAGTATTGATGACTAAATATAAATTATACCAATTTTGTTAACATACACGTTAACACTTTTGTCAATTCTTAACGGTTAGTGGATTGATTGACAATAATTAAATAGTTAAGTGATCTGATTGACATAATTAAAATATGACAGCAAAAATAAAATGACTAAATAGTTAGGTGATCAATAATATAGTTAAATCTTAAAAAAATATTAGTAACATATTAAAGTTATTTAATTTAGATATAAATTATTTTATATTTTTATTAAATTGCGTTATTAATTTTAAAGGATTAAAATTAATACTATCAATAGATATAATTTTTCTAATATTGATACATATCGGTATTAATGTACATCGATCTATCATTTCTTTCAGGTTTATCATGTTAAAAATAAATTTGATATATAATATAAAACAAATATATTTTAATTACGTAAATAAAAGTATAAAAAAATTATTTCATATTAAAATTCCAAACTTAAAGATTGAATTATTATTAATTTTTATAATTTATTTATTATAGATATATCCAATTGTTTTGGGGCATAAGGGGCATGGCTCAGGCAGATCTAGACTTGGATACTCCCTGATTAGGGGTGAACAACACCGGGTACTCACTTATTTTTTTCGAAACTGAAACCGGAACATGTTATACCGGTTCCTAAAAAATGGAATCTGGAATAGAAATCTGTTTAACTGGTTCCTAAAAATTAGGATCCGAAACCGAAACCTGTAAGTACTGATACAGGTTCCGAGTATCCTGTTAATTTGATAGCTTTTTCATTCAACCTGTTAATTGTTACACATTAAGTGTGATGGTATGTCGCCTCCACGTTTAAATTAGCCCTTTTATAAACGGTTAATTTATTAAACTAAAATGCTACTACTTATTACAAGTAGAACTCTTTTCTATACAAAATTTATCTACCATTTCATACTTAAATAGTAATAAAAACACTAACTCAAAGTACATATAACGAAAACACAAAGTTAAAAATCAATTACAACAAGTTTAATTTAAATTCAAAAGTATAGGGTTTCTAATTTTTGACTATATATTTTTAACTTTTTACGTTCAAAGTATTTTTTTAGTATGGGCTCAGTTTATTTGAGCTCTAATATTTTGGACAATATAATATTATACGGTTTCAGTTTCGGTTTCAGTGTACTCGATATTGGAACCGTTTTTAGCCGGGTACCCAACCGGTTCCGGTTCCAAAATTTTGGGAACCGAAACCGATGTCAACATGATCCTTATTTTGCTACCCGAAACTGAAACCGCTAGGACCGGTTTCAATTTCGGAACAGGCAATTATTAACCGGTTTTGATCCCGGAACAGGGTTCACCATTCTTTTGCTCACCCCTACCTCTGATACTGATTAATAAAAATTTTAATATTTTTTAAATAATTTCAAACAATAAAATATAATTATTAAAATTAGTTTTTGAACTTAATTAAAATTTATATTTTTATATATTTATTTAAGGTATATTTATTCTATATAATATAAAAAATATATTTTTAAAATGATAAACTTGAAAAAACAAAACCAGTGGATTCATCTCCTAAAAACACCATTTCCACATGCTCTCAAAGTTTCATTCCTCTCCCTCCGAAATTCCTTGATTTTCTCCTCATCTCGTTGTCGTCCAAAGTCGGCTTCCACCTTCTTTCTCTTTTTGTCACCAATAAACACCATTGGTGACCAAAAACAAGAAGAAGAACAAACACCTCGACATCAGCAGCATTTTTTCTTTTTCTTTTTTGGCCGGAATTATGAGCGTTTCGGCGCCATTCCAGCTGCTTGAAATCAATATGATTTCGGCCCAGGATTTGGAGCCCGTTTGTCGACGTAAGATGAAAACTTACGCGGTGGCTTGGGTTCATTCCGATCGAAAACTCTCCACCCGAATCGATACCCAAGGCCATACCAACCCGACATGGAACGATAAGTTCGTTTTCCGTGTCGACAATGAGTTCATCCAACGCGATACGTCGGCCGTCATGATCGAAATCTACGCCGTGCATTGGTTCCGTGACATCCACGTAGGCTCCGTCCAAGCCATCGTCGGTAACCTTATCCAGCCGGACTCTCAACGGCGCCACCGTCAAGAAATCGAACTAGGGATGCAGTTCGTCGCGCTTCAGGTTTGGCGACCGTCGGGTCGACCCCAAGGGATTTTGAACATTGGGGTGGCGTTGCTCGATAACACAATGAGGAGCATGCCGTTGTATTGGCAAATGGGGTCGTCAGCGGTCGGATACCGGCATTTAATGGGCGAAGAAGATCCGTTTCAAAACGGCGCCGGTGTCCATCCTGTTCCAAGCACTAACAAAAGCAATAATTATCAGCAATTACTTAATGGGTTGCTCAAGCCCGAGCTTCGGCGAACCAAGAGTGAATCCAGTTCCGTTTTGGGATCAGATTTAAAGCCGAAAGGTTCCTCCATTGTTATTGGTGGATCAACGGTGAACGACCCTGAAACTGGAATACCCAACCATAAGATAGCTTCAAGAGGGAGTTCAATGGTGAATTACAAGCCTTATAAAATCCCCACCAAGGGAAAATCTAGTTTGATTGAGAACGGTGCTGAAAAAAACAACCACAAGATCGGTTCACGAGGGAGTTCAATGGTAAACTACGTGTTCGATAAAAATACTAACAGAGAAAAACGCGGCAACGGTGCGAAACTTGGTGGGTCGATAATATGGACGGATTCAGAACTGGGTCCTTCGCCTTCGGAGGCGGCGGCGGCTGTGGCTAGGAACCTACAACATAACAGAATGGAAGAGACGGGGAGTTCAGAGGCGGATGATTGGAGTTTAGACGAAAGCATCGAAGGGCTTCAGTCGAAACTGGGAAGGTGGAGGACCGAGCTGCCGCCATTGTACGACGGAGGGGAGCTTTCGAGTTACACGTCGAGTGGGGTTCCGACGACATCGACGGTGAAAAACGCGATGAACGATCGAAGAAATCCCCGCGGCAAAGGGAGAACGTTTACGTGTTTCGGCAACATTTTCGGATGTTCCATTTCGATAACTTGTATGCCTGCGGCATCTGGATCTCTAAAAAAGAGAAATTAATACTCCTTTTTTCTTATTTATTATTTACATTGGATTTGAGTACAAAAATGGCGTTCGAAAGACGATTTAGGCCATTTCCCCCTTGTTTCTTTTTCATTTTGATTTATGTATTGTGGGGAAAGGATAAGAACTTTGGTGCTGATGGTTTGAGTGAGACTTTGTTCCTCGATGTTCAATCAATAATCATATTTGCTTAAAAGCACAAGAAACGGCTATACATGGCACCAAATTACAGAAATTCCTGAATTAATATTATCATCTTATTTTTTATAGCTAAAGAAATAGATGATCTCCTAAACTATGTTACTCAATTTGCAGCCTTCTTCTAGCAGTATATCATATAGGTCTACTGGAGGCGTTGAAATTAAAACATATAATATTCAATTAAACAACATTAAATATAAAAAACATAACATTGAACATTAAAACTAAATATAAAAAATATAATATTCAATGAAATATAATATAAAAAACATTAAAGATAATATAAAAACATAAAATTAATACATAATATAAAAATATTAAACATGAATATTATAACATAAAAACTAAATATAAAAATATATAATATTTAATTAAAAACATAAAAAAACATAATATAAAAACTAACTATGTCTTCTTCGTGAATGCGCTCCACAAGACGGTGGTTATCTATTTCGAGTAGGATTTATTCGTATAGATTGCTCTCCCTCTCAAGTCTCATCATCTTCATCGACATCAGCTTCATCTTATTGGGTCAGAGTTGATATCGAATAAGGACCTACATGGAATAACAAACGTGGATGTCTATGATGAAAAATCTCACTCCTTGTTGAGAATTACGAAAACTGTGAAAAAAATTATATCTAAGACTAGGTTGTATACGGTGGTGGTGGTGGTGGGAGAGTACCACCCGCCATATACGATGCATATGAAGCGAACGTTGGGTCTATAGGAGTAGACATTCATTTTCGTCGGATAATTTTTAATTATTATTATTATTATCTAATTATAATTATAATTTATTGTTTAATTTTTAATTTTATTATTATTATTTTGTAGGTTTTTTTACTAGCCCAAATTGGACCCTAATTACAAAGCCAACTGTCCCAAACAAGTGGCCCAACTAGTAGGCCCAACAATTATAAAACCCTAATGGCCCATTATGTTACAACTTTGGTTAACCCTAATTCTAGGGTTAGCCCCCTACTATCGCCGTCGAAGAGCCCAACCGAAAAGCAAGTCGCGCCAATCGTCAGAGCCATCAAGCCGAGCCGGATTAGATCTTAACCAAATCCGAGGCATTTAATGCTTTACCAACCGAGCAAGGCAACCATACATCCCTGCCACACATGTCAATCATCAACAACTATCAATCAACAGTATATGTCAAAAGATATTTTATTTATTTTAATCTCTGTAAATATGGGTATAAAACCTGAATCAGTTGTAAGAAAATGGATCCCCTTTTTGTTTTCAAAAGAAATACACAAAAATCTTAAGGTATTTCCCCCTTTATTTTCAGTTTCGAATATTAAAAAAACTAAACATATTTACAAACAAAAAAACAAAGGAAGAAGAAGAGATCTAGAGAGTTACCTGAGAGAGGAGCTGAACCATATAGCTGGTTCATCTTCACGGCCAGAGAAGACGAGAAACTGAAACATCAAAGAGTTTTTGTGGTCTTTTTAGGTGATTTCGGCCTTAGATCTAGGCCTAGGAGGGTAGATCGGAGTGAGTAGGTTTTTTTGGGTCAGTTTAGGAGTTTCGACTGCCATATGTGGCGGTCGAAACGACGGCCAGAGTGGCGACGTATGGTGGTCTGCTGAAGGAGAGAAGAGAGAGATGAGAGAGGTTTTTTTTAATTATTTTTTTGGTTTTTCGGTTGAAAATGAAAAACAAAAATGGGTTTTCGTAGGGGAAGTTTAGGGTAAAATCACATATAGGTCTCCCATAGTTTAGCGCGTTTTTGCATATTGGTCACTTGTGATGACCAAAGTTGTTATTTACCCGTTTTCATGCATGTTATATATTTTTGGGATATTTGTTGTTCAGTCCCCTATATTTTAGCGTGTTTTTGCATGTTGGTCACTTGTAGGGACCAAAGTTGTTATTTACCCATTTTCATGCATGTTATATATATTTTGGAATATTTTCTGTTTAGTCCCCCTTATTTAGGCGTGTTTTTGCATTTTAGTCATGTGTAGTGATTATTTAATTTTATTTTAATATTTTTGGACTGATGGGTTTTATAGGGGAAGTTTATGGTAAAATCACACATAGGTCTCCCATAGTTTAGCGCGTTTTTGCATGTTGGTCACCTGCGATGACCAAAGTTGTTATTTACCCGTTTTCATGCATGTTATATATTTTTGGGATATTTGTTGTTTAGTCCCCCATATTTTAGCATGTTTTTGCATGTTGGTCACTTGTAGGGACCAAAGTTGTTATTTACCCATTTTCATGCATGTTATATATATTTTTGGAATATTTTATGTTTAGTCCCCCTTATTTAGGTTTGTTTTTGCATTTTAGTAATGTGTAGTGATTATTTAATTTTATTTTAATATTTCTGGACTGATTTAGTAATTTACACATTTTTCTTTAAAAATATGTTTTAGGTTTGTAAAAAAGGAATAATTATTAAGTAGTCCTTGTAGTTTCAACATGTTTTATATTTTGGTCTCTAATCTATTTTTTTTATTTAATTTAATTTAACCATGTAATTTTATTTTAATTTGGCCCCCATATCTTATTTATTTTTATTAATTACAATTTTAGCATATACTGTTAAATATGTTCATTTTGGTCCTGAATATATGGGTTTATTACACTATTGGTGCTTGTAAAGCATGCTTTTTATAATATATGTTATGTTATTTATTTGATTTGATGTTGTGACACTAAAGTTTTCAGTTTTATTATTTAGTCCTAAATTTGTAATATGTGTTTTGAATGTTGCATGTATATAAAATATATATTGATATTATGTAAATATTTGTGTATTTTGTGGCATATAGGTTTAGGATTTAATTGCATGAAACCTCATAAGCATTACTTGACTTGATTCAAATAATTTAACTAAGGGTAATATATGTTTATTTTAAGATTATTGTAAAGTGACTATCTTAACATATAAGAAAGTCACTTTCGATAATTTTAAAATGAAAATGCATCCTATTAAGTGACACGAATAGAATTGATTACATTTAAATTTCGGGATTGAGAAAAAGATTATGTTCTTTTAATTAAATTCACCGAGAAAAGACTGTTAGATCGAATCTAAGGTCATATCTCGATGTATTTAAATAATTGAACATCCTTATTCTCATTAATGGTAGGTAAAATAATTAATTAATCGTATTTGTTTGATATATGTTTGTAATTTTTGTTTTTCTTTGGTATATATTTTTCATGATTTCAAAAATAAATAACACTCAAATTAATATTGAATTTTAGGACAAAACAATAATATATCTTCATTTCGCTTGGAGTAATAAATGACTGCTTTAAGGCATAAGAGGTTATTTATTCTCGATTGGAAATAATTAGATATTATCGTTTTCTCTCTTAAAATTCAAAGAATATGTTTTAAAAAGAAGGTCTTAGAGTTATTTTGTTTTATTGTATTGTTATTTATGCGCTTAATTTTTGAATTAATAATGAGCTTTAGAATGGAATTGTAACATTTCTTTATTTCGATTGGACTAAGAATCGATTGCTTTAAGGCATGAGGGGTCGATTCTTCTTGATAGGAAATGATTAAATATTATTATATTTTGTTCTAAAATTCAAAGAAAATTATTTGTATGGGATCCTAAATTAAATTAAACTTGAACTCGTAAATTTCATTGCAAAGAAAACTAATTAATCGACTAGGTATCGATTTAGAGCGTTGTGGGGTGCTAATCTTTCCACACGCGTAACCGACTCCCGAACTCAAATTTTGGTAACACATACCATAAATTTGCTGTTTTAATTAAAATGAATATTTTTATTAAAATAACAAATATGTTTTTTGGGTGCCCAATCACACCCTAATCAAAGATTGGTGGTGACTCCTCGAATCACGTTTTATTATTAGAAGGTCACCAAATTATTCGAGATGGATCTTTTAAAAATCAGATTTTAAAAATTAAATTTGTTTTTTTTAGAAAAATCGTTTCGACAATAGGTATATAATATACTTTGGGGGACTCAGAATGTAAACTAATAGGCTCGACATATAAATCGAAGCAACGACATGTAAACCGATGTACTTGGGATATAACCTAGTGGGCTAAACATTAGTCTGGGTAGTGGATACTGTGGTGTTTCCGGTGACACTATTGAAGATGGATCGAAAATGTCTACTCTTCATTCACGATTAGTCGTGGGACAATGATACTTAGTCGGTGGATATTTTTCCTGACGAGTTTAATAGACCCACATCATGCCTCATCAAAAAGTATGAACGAATTCTCATTTATGTTGAACCATGAAATATATTCATATGAAACCATGATATCAGTTTCTGAAATATAATGACGAACAGGAAGGCGTTCATATCGGTGCTCCCAAATTGTTATCCACCCGCTATGCTTCTCCCTCCAATCAACACTGTGCTTGTCTCGTATATCAAGGTTATACATATTTGTCAAGATTTGCAAGTGCTTCTAGAATAAACTGTGTGAAACCAAATTGGTGAAGTACACGATCACTCGGATGCCACTCAACAGTAGCATAACAGATAAGAGACACAATCGCAAGTTATACGTCCAATAGACCCATCAAGTCAGGTGAGATTCAAGCCCTTATTTCTTCATTCATATATAGCATCTATTGAAACTAGAAAGATGTATTTATTATCAAAATTTAAATGAAATTTTAATTATAACAATGATGAAATAAAAAAAATTAATAATTAAAAGCATACATCTGAACTTGGTTTTTGCTTGATTAAAAATTTGATATCTTGTAATTAACTAGGCATATCACAATGATTTTTTTATTAAAGACAATCACCTATATAATATAAAAAT